GCTGGCAACTTTGTCTAAGGCGTTCTGCCCCAGGGCCAAAGAGCCTCAGTGGAGTCGATCCCTTGCAAGGGGACTGTAAGATCAGCAAAGTCCTGACCTTCAGCCTCACCCAGTACCCAGATGCCAACCCAACCCCAGTGAGCAACAGCAATAGTTGTGCCCTCTTGCCTGGGGGGACTCCTCCTAACAAAAAAGTAAAAACTGAGTACACAGTTTCTATTCTGCCAAGTTTGCGTGTTATCCTTTCTCCTTCCCACCGCATTCAGCTGACTCGGTAAGACCTCGGCGCTCTCCTGACAGCGTGCCTCTGTTCTGCAGGGGTCTATGTCTGCCAGATCGAAGTTCGGCCCCAGGCGGAGGAGCTGCGCCAGGCCCTCAGCATGGCTGACACCTCAGTCTACGGGTGGGCCACACTGGTCAGCGAACAGGGCAAGAACGGAATGCAAAGAATCCTCATTCCTTTCCTCCCAGCCTTTTACATCAACCAGTCCGAACTGGTTCTCAGCCCCTCGCGAGTCGCTGGGGAGATCCGTGTGCTGGGGGTGGAGCGAGTGCTGGAGAAACTGGAGGTATGTGAAGGGCTGACCACTGGAGAGCAGGGGTTTGGACAAAAATGCAAGTAGGATTTTTTTTTCCCTTTGGGGCCCTGTGGTAAAGGAAATCCCTAAGTGAACTGATGAGGATCGCTGTTCACTCACTGCTCTGGAGTCAGTTCATATTTCTGAGACGACAGTCTTTACAGGAGCAGAAAGCCAGGCTTTCTCCCGCAGTCACGGGTGGTTGCGAACTGCTGACTCTGAGGTTAGCAACACAATGAGTAGTCACTTCGCCACCAGCACTCTTAAAGATGACTACAAAAATCAAAGCAAGCTCCAGTCGATGCCGACTTACAGACTTCAGTGACCCGACAGACCAAGATAGAACTGCCCCCGACCTGCCCCCTCCCTGAGTTTCTGAGACTAACTCTTTATGGGAGTAGAGAGCCTGGTCTTTCTCCCAAGAAGCAGCTGGGGGTTTCAAACTGCTAACCTTGCCAACACGCAACCACTACACCACCAGGGCTCCCGTTGAATGATCACTATAGGGATTTATATACATATAAAGGAGAACATGTATTGAGTCTCAAAAGGGACAAAGATGAGGGAGGCCATTAGCATGAGGTCAAAATGGCATCTCTACAGGAAACTCTTAAATTGAATGTTGAAAAGCTGTCCCCTTCACTGCGCCCGAGAGGCTCAACAGGCCAAAATGTAGGTCATTCTGGAAGACTGGTGACGGATCTTTAAAACTCTAGTTTAATATTTTTTGAAGCCGCTTTTATTCTTCCCTTATCCTTCAGCACATCCACGGGAGTGCGAGCACCTGGCTTATTTAGTGTCCAACAGCTAAACTCCACCCCTACACTGGCATTAGAAATCCCCGTCTCTTGACGGTCCTTGAAATGTTAAGATTGGAACAAAGTATTACAGTTCTTCCTTCAAACAGAGCCATTTTATCTCTTCTCCGAGGTCTTCCCCAGTTCCCCTGTCCTGGTGGTGTCTGTGGACGCACACTCTGCCCTCACGCCTGGCCTGGCCATCTACCCCATCAGAGTGGTCAACTTCACCTCCCTCCAGCAGATGGCCTCACCCGTTTTCATCAACATCTCCTGTGTGCTCACCGGACAAAAAGAGGCTGTGCGGGTGAGAGCTACGAAGGATAAGTCCAGTACAGGTGAGCACTGGGTCCGTGTTTCATCCGAAGGGGAAGGAAAACCAGGGTGTATTGTTGTGAAACTGGCCTGGGGTCGGTCCCTGACCTCCCCAAACTTCACAAGGGAGGAAGAGGAGAATCAAACTCATCATCAGCCCCAGGCCGATTCCTAGGACATCTATTCCTAGGACACAGAGGGCACATGTGTCTCCACTCTCCGATCTTCGTTTCCCATTCCGACACCAACCGTCTCTCCTAGGGCACTTTCTTCCTCGCTGCTGGGGTCAGTCACCCATCGCACTGGCCATGCAGAACTCAGACCACACTCATGATTATGAGGTCCAGTGGAGGAGCCGATTACAATTCAGGGTCAGGAATACTCATGATGTGGGTCTTCAGTTAGGACAGCGTGCTCTCTCTCAGCCCTACCCAAAGGCCTGTCCAGGCCCTCGGCCCCATAGCTTGCTTGGGCAAGTGTTAGCTCTCTGCCTCACAGGCCTCTGGAGCCTTGGCTTCTGCCCTGCTTGGGCAAGTGTAGTCTGCCCACCTCCACCCCAATGAAGTACCTGGAAGCAACCCATTTTGGCAGGCACGCGGCTTTCTCCCCCACGGCCCGGAAGCCCTATGCTATCTCCTGCACTTACACGTATCTGTCACCTCTGGTGTCACAGCTCTGGCTCCTGGATTGAGGTGAAGAGGTTCCTCGCAGGAACCTCAGGGCGAGGAGCCTCAGGGCCCGTGGGGCACACTACACCCTGTGCTCTGCATTCTTGATGGTCCTGAGAGCCCCCTTTCTGCTTCATTATAAACCTAGCTGGATGGCAGAATTAACCAACCCCCTCCTGCGGGTTCCATACACCTCATTTGCATGGCCCCACCCCCAAAGTGCTATGTACCTTATTTCCTATATTAGTTAGTTTGGGAAATGCACAGCGGCAGTTCTCTTCTGTCCTATAGGGTTGCTATGAATAGTAGTGAGTGGAAGGGATCCAGTCACTTAGGGAGCCCTGCAGTTGCTGTTGGGGAGGCCTGGGACTGCTAACTTCAAACCCACCAGATGCTCCACAGAACAAGCCAAGTCTTGTGCTCTAGTAGATTGGCAGCCCCAGAAATTCTTTTTAAGGGTGGCTAAGAGTTGGCCTTGACTGGATGGCAGTGAATTTGGTTTTGAGAGTTGCAACGCCCATCTCAAAGACCCTTATCAAGTGTGGTATCACTTACCACAGCTGCTCACTAATGAACAAGATGCATTCAGCTACTTGACCAAGACTATTTCGACTAACTCCAGCGGGAATTGTCCAGGCTTTTCCAAAATTGAGCTTTTTCACTTACAAGTTATACTGACATACTTAGGAAGGTATATCCGTTTGGCCTGGTTTTGTGGCAGAAATAGGCTACTACGCACCATAGTTTAAACACTCTCGATAAACGCTTCAGGTTCAAGTCCTCAGCAGAAGTCGTTTTGCAGCAGGCAATGGGCAGGTACTGGTAACCGCAGAAGACTTGACTTCCAAAATCTTGATTCCAGGCATTGCCATTTTAAAAATAATGCCACGTTTTGGGTAGTTTGGGAACACAAATGGGAATGCCACAGAACCGTCCTCTGCATATTGTATGTGTTTCCACTTTGCCACAACTCAAAGGAAATAGTGCTTTTCTTAATTTGGGGGAGGGAATTTTTAACTCTAGCACATGTAGTAATTTTGCTGAGTAGCTCTATGTACCGGTCAACATCCTAACCAAATTTATATGCATTTTTAATTCTCACATTTCCTGGGAAAGTGCCCTTTCCCCTTCTATTCTCAATTGACCTCTAATGAAAGTTGTTTCCACTGATTATATGTAGGCAACAGACCACAGTGTGTTCATGGCCGTATCTGTCACCAATAACTCACGTCCGCACTGCCACATCACGGTCAACTGAGCAGCCCTAAGGTTTCCGAGCAGACAGCCGCATTTCCTCCCATCAAGCAGCGGGGTGGTTTGAACCAGTTAGCACCTAACCCAGAGCACCACCAAGGCTCCTTTTGTCATCCACAGAAATCAGATGTCACACTCAAAACTATTTCTCATTACTGCAAAATTACAGTAGCTATCAAACTTGAGCCTAGATTTTATTGAATAAGCACCATATTATTGTATCAGAAATTGGCCCTAATATTGTGATGACTGTCACAAGTCGGGTTTTTAATGTTTTCTGAGGTTTTTAATGTTTATAGCTGGATAATTGTTTACATTTTGTATGCCTACATATTTTTATGTATTGACATTTTTTCTCCTGAGATAGGAACCACTGGCTTTAGATTGCCTAATTTGCCTACATACACAAACAAAATCTTGGGGACTACACAGGGGTAAGAAGTGTTTCCAACATTAGATATATTAACCAAGACTTTAGCTCATTTATAAAAGGACAGGAGTGCATATTGGTATAGGTCACATGTAGGGCTCCTGCTTTTAATCGCTTGCAGAGCCAGGGGCTGTTTCCCTGTACTCAAGATTGGCATCCTGGCAGGATAGTGAATTACCTACTACCCAGAAGAACGGTGCAAACCTACCAGCTGCTCAGTGAGAATGAGGGTTTGTGATCCTGAGGGCCAGTTGTACTCTGCTCTCCAGAGTCCCTGAGTTGCAACAGGGCAGTGTTGGAAGTTAATAGACCCTGTAAATTTGCTCTGATCAGGACACTGGCAGGTCAAAAAGCTTTAGCTCAGTGGTTCTCAACCTTCCTCATGTTGTGGTGACCCCCAACCATAAAATTATTTTCCTTGCTACTTCATAACTGTAATTTTGCTATTATGAATGTTATTTGATATGTAGGATGTATTTTCATTGTTACAAATGGAACATAATTAAATCACAGTGATATATCACAAAGCAATATGTAATTATATATTGTGAAATGTTTGTTTTCCAATGGTCTTAGGGGACCCCTGTGAAAGGGTCATTCAACTCCCAAAGGGGTGGAGACCCAGAGGTTGAGAGCTGCTGCTTTAGATAATTGAACCTGACCGGGAATTACCATAAAGAATTTCGTTAGGGTATACTTTGTTAACGTATACCTCAAGCAACCTCACATCACTATCTTCACAGTAGCATTTTGTAAATAATGTTGTAAGTCAAATCAGTGAGAGGTTGGCAACTAAGTGTGAAGACCTGGGAACCGATACTTAAAAAATACTAGCAAAGATGAGATACATTGTGCAGAAGTTGGTGAGTTGGAACGAACCAAATGCAGGAGTCAAAATATGCCTTTTCAACGTTTCAAGTTTACCTGGAAACAGCTAGATACAAATTAGAAAGCTCCCTAGAAAAAGGCAACCTGTTGAGTTCTTTACAACAGGTGACTGCGGGGTGTTGGCAGAACAAGGCTGGTGTTTTCTTAGCGCTGACCTCCACAGAACCAGACCAGGCCTTTCTTCCACAGTAGGTAGTCAAACCACCAACCTTGTCATCACCCAGGCACCCTCCTCCTGGGGGAAAAGGGGCCCAGGAGTTAAGTTCCACAGAGATGCAACTGTGAGTAGATTGTCAGGATTGGTGAAGGGCAGCGGTTTCCACTGGAGGTTAAACTGCACGGGAGAACCAAACAGGCACTTCAGGGAGTCACCTTTGAAGGAGTACAGTGTCATTCACATCAGAAGGCCCCTTTTCTGTCAAGAAGCAAAACAAGTTTTCAGTGCCAGGTTGTGAGTGCATTAGAAACTCTTCTTAAACGTAGTTCCTACCCTGTGTGTTGGGTGCTGCTAAGTAATGAGCATCCTGTCTGGTTTGGCCAACACCAGCCCAGGGTGAAGACTCGGGGGTGCTCCAGCAGCTGGTTGGCTCTTACCAGATCCTCTTCTTCACTCTCTTTGCGGTGCTGGCTTCAACGGCTTTCATCTTTCTGGGTAAGGAATCCCTCTCTAGTCAGCAGCACGGACGTTCCACTGCACAGACTGAATGATCTCACTTGCCACCAGCAGTGGAAATGGACGTGGCGCACTACGAAACACCACTCAGAAGTGAGCACCCTTGAGTGGCTCGTGTTGCTCCCATCCATTGCCTGAGGATGCGAGCAAAACACAGCACCACTCTCACCCAGACCTGCGTTTCCCATCTTCCAGCTACAAGTTGAAATACTCTTGATCATGTAGCACTGTGCTTTTAACTGGAAGCTTGACTATTGAATATGTTAAATGGCAATTACATATACGCTACTGAAATTGTTATTTCACTCGAGACCCTCAAGCCTCATTTCAGAGAAACACCCCACCCCCTGAACTCCTTTTACAAGTTGGCTTTGCCCCATAAGGCCTTCATCTTCCCCGACAACCAAAACTCAGACCAGCTTTTGACTTCACACCTGTGCTCTTTCTAGCATACAACGCCTTCCTAAACAAGATACAGACGGTTCCAGTGGTTTATGTACCAACTCTGGGACCACAACCAGGTAAGAAGCTGATAGCCCTCTTTAGAAAGCTGAGCCACACAGGTGAATCAACTAGCGCCTCCCCCCTTCTCGTTTCTAGGTTCTTACAGCTCTCCGTATCCACCCCGCCGCTACCTGAGTCCACAGCC